TCCTGTGTTTTGTTGGTGTACATTTAATATACTTCTAATCGCTATTTCAGTCTTTCTATCTTTCTAATTACTTCTCTCTCTGTTTTTCTCTCTCTCTATTTAAAAAAAAGTACTGGCAAGTACTAAAACTGAAGTACATGTACTTGATCTGATACAAACTAGTATCTGGTACAATAAAATCTTCCTAATAAGCTAATACATCTAAAACCGTGTCTCCACTCCTGAAACAGAACAAATGTTCTTTTCCTTAAAACAGATTTTACTTTAAATTAAAGAAAAACCTCTCTCGTTGTATAAAGGAGAGTAATCTTTAAACTGTTTGCTTCACTTTTTGACAAATAAATACAAATAAAATGGGGAAAACTGATTGAATTTGAGGATTAGTGCTTTACCTCTGTGTTCAGAAGAGTTGGAGATGCTCCTAAATATTTTCAGAGAACACCGGGCTGCTSTCCCAGCTGACAGCATGCTTCATCGAAAACAAGAAAACAACAAAATACAGTATAAAATATAAAAACACATTGCTTTCAGTTCCCCTAATTTGTTTKCCTCGCGTGTCAGTGTTTACTTCCCCTAAATAAGCCACTAACTGTAAAATTAACCTACAGGGCATAAAATCTTTCCAACATGACCGTAAAGACACAAAAATAGTTTATGTTGACAATGAAACTAAAGCTTGAATTTAAAAAAATGACGTTTATACTGTGGGTTCAACACTGAACACATTTTCAGTACAAGCTGGAGTTATAAATAAGCTTACAAATAAATAAWAGCTGTCAAAATAAAACAGTAAATGTAATATTAGGCCCTAATTTATTCAGCAATGATTTGCATTTATTAAACATAATAACCATGTTATAATGAAATAGCATTATGGCAGGTAATAAAAGAGAAAACAAAGATGAATTACCTGGAGAATCAGAAGATTTTTGCTTAAAATGATCCTTAAATTAATACATCCTGGGAATAAACATCTGCTGAAGGCTGAAACTGAGGAAGAGGAAATAAATAAAGTGATTCAGGGTGAAAAATTAAAAGAAGTAAAGACAAAATGATTAACAGAGATGAACAAAAGTTAATATTATTTATTGTCAATAACACGACACAAGAAAATGAACACAAATTACAACTTTTTTGCATAAATTGTATTAGYTCTGTCCATTTTAATGTCTAACAATAAATAAAAAGTTTATTTTATGTACAAATATTGTCCTTATCAGGTGTCAAACCAGCCCAGAACAGTTACAGGAAGGAAATGTTAGCTAGTAACTAAACTTAAGACGGTGTTATAACACCACAGCTGTGTGTTTGCTAACGACCACTATGATGAGATAATTTATAACAATTTACCGGTTGTTTTATCTTTTCATTTCGTTTAGAAACGTTGTTTTTTGTAATCCTTTAGTCAAAGTCGAGCTGCGATAGCTCGAAAAMCTTGTGTTGTTGTCGGAAACGGCACCGGAGCGGCTGGAGCTTCTCACTTCCGGTCAATTTTCATATTAAAATCGTTTCTTGATTCAGCGCTAAAAAAACTCACAGGCTGCTGTCGCTGATAAAACCGGAAGAAGAGGTCAGTTAACAAAACGGATGTTTTAATATGAATAGCCAACGAAATATGTTTTTTTTTCTGTTTAGAGTTATCCTTTTTATCTTTTCCTCTATGCCTGTCAATGTCGAGCTGTTTTACCGACAAAAATACCCCGGAGCGACTAACTATTCCTTCCTATTTCCGGTCAGCCTTCACAGTAAAAGTCTTTTTTTTTTCTTTTTTTTTTTTACCTAAACGACCACTTGAGTTGCAAAGTGAACTTAAGAGTCTGAAACTAATACAATTTATGTGCAAATACACATAATTATGTATGTAAGTGAATAAGAAGTCATTTCTGATCCTGTTTTTAAATTTAAATTTTCAGCTAATTATTTCATATTTATCASACTGTATTATGATTTATTTAACAGCATTATCTTTATTGTAACTTTTAACATCATGAATAAAATCATTACTTTTTAAACCCAATTGGTTTAAAGTTTACTAAATGTGTTTTAAATCTACAGGGACATAATTCTTTACAGCTCAACTTTTTATAACCTACACAATTTAAATTKATCTGGACAAAACTACAAAGATATCTAACTATTCTGGGATGAGGTCCAAAGACTGGTTTACTTTGGCCAAAACAAACTGTGAAATCTGGTTCACTTCCAAAAAAAAAAAAAAAAAAAAAAAAAAAAAAAAAAAAAAAACAGTTCAAGGGAGTTATTTCCATTCAATATATGTAAAATTTTATGTTTTTTTATCATGTACCTACAACAGTTTGTTTTAAAGTGCACTTTAAGAGGTCAAGTAAATTTGATGTTTGATATAGCTGTAAAAATCTGCAGAATAAGTCTTTTAAGTAATTTTCAGTGTTTGATATTAAATTAGTTGTTCACACAACAAATACATCCTGTTTTTAGTGGTATTGATCCCTCTGTTACATACGTTGTCAGTACTGTCAATGACCTTTAACCTTTGTTTTCTCAGAATCCACGAAATGTTATTTAATCAGGGGAAACTGAAGCGAACACAGCTGAGAAACCCACAGAGGAACCCAAATCAGAACCATAAAGACTTAATGGATTTTCTTGATTCATATAAAAAGTGGCTTCTCTTCGAGCTGCAAGACTGTGCACAGCACGCTGTTTCTTCTTGCTGTAATGGTTCATGCTGAGAATTTGAATCAAACAGCTCAGATAAAAAAGACATAAACAGAAAGCCTTTTAAAAAAAAAAATCCTAAAATATGAAATTTTCACCTGAAGACAAACAGGAATCCTCAACTTTCGGCCACTTTCCCAACAAGAACCTTCAGGTCAAGGCAGAGTTTGAACTTTGAACTGCGTGATGTCATTGTCGCTCGGCACAACAGAGAAGAGGGACTTTATAAAAGATCTGAGGAGACCTGTTGCAGTGTTTTTCATCCCTGCGGGGGGCTGAAGAAGCCATCATGGGCTACAACAAGCTGTGGCTGATACTGCTGCTGAGCGGCTGCTCTGTGGCACGTAAGTTTGAATTTATGCCTGTTTTAACGAGCCTTGTTTGTCTTTTTGAACATGAGTTTTATAAGAAAACAGTTTGACTTGTTATAATAATGAAAGGTACTAATAATCTTAATGAAGACTTATTGGAGAGACAGGACTGACAAATAAAATGAATCAATAACACATTCTAATTTCTTAAATTTCTTCTGTGTAAATGTTTTGATTCTGCGTATTGATCCAATGTTTGCACTCTGATGCAAACTGTCTAGTTTCTACATAGATTTTATAATTCTACAACCTCAAATGATAAACCTGTAAGTTCTTACTCTACTGCAATATGTTTTTAGCAGAAACAATCGATTGAATTTTCTGTTATATTTAATAATAACTTATTTTTGTTTCAGAGTATCACAAAGAAACACCTACATGTCAATGTAAGTTTTTTTTGTTAAATTACACCTAACCTGCTGCTTTTCTGTAAAAGAAATAAATAAAGAAATTAGAAAAACTACTTCTCTGTAACGGTGCAAACAGACACACTGACGGGTCGATGCCGCTCTCTGAACTCATGACCCGTTTTGTTGCAGCAGCAGCTGTTTTTGTCTGAAAACAGCTTCTTTTGTCTGTTTGAAACATCCATGCACAGAGAGGTTCAAAGGTGGAAATCTGTCTTTAATGCTCTGATGCAAGAGAAAAGAGTAACCCTATAGGAGCAAATATAGACTTATCCGGAGGTGACACGCTGACACGTGATATTATGTGGGTTACAGTGGCATCCAGATTCAAGCTTCATAAGAAATACGTGTATCAGTATGCTGCTGAGAGTCAGAATGGGGTTCTGGGAACTGCCAACCTACAAAATGGCCCAAAAGTCTCCTGTCAGGTAAAATAAAAAATAAAAAAACACATGTTTGTGTCTGACTTTGAGCAAAGCAGAGTTCTTATCTGAACCCCTCTGCTGTCATTTATCTGCAGGTAGAGATCGAAGTCCCCCAGATGTGCAGGTTCATCATGCACACCAGAGACTGCACGCTCAGTGAAGTGTCCGTCATGGACCCCCAGGGTCGGCCGGTCTTCGAGCCGGTGCCCGGCTCCGATGCCTTCAAAGCCAGCATGGAAAAGTCAGTGCTGACCGGTGTTCACACCATGTGCTGCAAAGATTAAACAACTCACAGCAATGTTATCTTTAAAGCTTTGTTAATCTGTGCTAGAATTCTAAAAACCAAAACAGATTATTTCAGCTTCGAGGGCGTTTTTGAACCGATGAACGTCAGCAAAAAACAAAGATTTATCAAAACCAGAACATTCAAACTTTAAAGTGCCTGTGACATGAAATTTTTGTAATAAACATGAATACATTTTTTTGAAAGTTAGCATTAAAAACATATTTCAAAAAAATCACTCCACTGAGACCAACGGTTGTTGAGATATTTGCACGTGAAGAAACAGGAAGTGATGTCAAAGGGGAATGTCTGCAATGTGAATAAATACAATGGCTGAAAACACAAACTTGTAGAGTAGAATCTGATGGGTTTTTTTTAGATTATTATGAATCATTATCAGAGAGAGATGAAGAAGAGTTAAAATAAAATTGTTTTAATAAGCAAAGTCCAGGAAGTTTTCTTTCTTAAAGAGTTCCCCTTTGATGTCACTTCCTGTTTCACTTTGGTTGAGCCAAATTCTAAAGAAAATATACCAGTTATGAGACAAAATGAGTAAAATCATGTGTATCAAGCAAAGTGTCTTGAACATAAAGATGTTTTKTTTGACATTTATTTTTGAAGCATATGCATGTCACAGGCACTTTAAATCGTCCTCTGAAAGATGCAGAACATAAATGAAGCGCAGTTTGTTTAAATTCTTGAGTTTTGTCTTTTCTAAAGTGTTTGTTGCTTCACGCAGGAACCCTCTGAAGTTCTCTGTGGATTCTGAGACTCGTGTTCAGGTTTACCCCGAAACCGACGAGGCCGTGAACATCCTGAACATTAAAAGAGGGATTGTTTCTGCTTTCCTGGTGCCCGCTATGGCGGAAGGCCAGAGCAGCCTCATGGTTAGTTTGTTAAAAGTTAAGATTTAAACTAGTTGTAAGGTTTTCACGTGGAAGAACTTGGTTTTGTAGTAGCTAAAACTTGATAAAATGCTWAAACTGAGACAATAAACTCTTATTTGTGCTGAGACCCACGTGTTTTCAATCCTTTTCAGAGCACGGTGCATGGCCGGTGTTTAACAGGTCACACAGTGATTTCCAGACAGGAAGATGTCACAGACGTGACACTTACCAGAGATCTGTCCCAGTGTGACCAGTTCTACAGCAGAACCCTGATAAACAGCCCACTGGCTCTGCTGCAACAACTGGTGAGAAACTTGGCTTTATTTTAGCCTCTCAACCTTCCGACAGGATTTCAAATTACAAACCAAAATTATTTATCACCAATCTCCAGTGAGTGTTGCTCTTTTTGCAACAAGGTAGCGGGTAAAGCTTCAGCTTCGTGGCTCCCTGGTTGCTTGTAACCAACATTCATGACTCATTGAGGCAGAAATGAATAATTTGTCCTTTTTCTTGCAATTTTGAGCCACCAAATTGTTTCCAACAGAAAGATACATACTGAAAAATCAGCCATCTAAAAATAAGTCAAAAATATTAGATTATAGTTTGAATCTTCTCAAATTAAGTAAAATAATCTGCCAGTACAAGACTTCTATTTTCTTAAAATAAGAAAAAAAATCCAAATATATCATTCTCAAAACAAGATCAAAATTACTTTTTGGCTGGATATAAGATTACAAGACTTGATTAGAAGGACAATTTTTGCAGCAGCCTTAAAGTTTGAAGAACTGATTATGATTTGATAACATTTCAAATGTCTAATCACAGAATTTTAGCTAAAACACACAAGCAAACTTTGAAAGATAAAATGGATCCGGAATAGCGCCCTGAGGAATGCCAAATCACAGCGTCATCAGCTGTAAAGGAAAGAAAAAGTTGAAGTGAAGGAAAATGTATTTTCTGTAATTTCTGCTGAAATTTCTTGTAAGCTGAAAGTAATTATCAACAAAAAGGCTTTGTTTCCAGCACAACCCCATGTCTAAACTCATAAGAAGCACCCAGAGCTGCAGCTACCAGCTGGATAACAGAGGAGATCACATCATCTCCGCCACGTGCTCAGAGAAACACAGATATCTGCCATTTTCCCACCAGTGAGTCCAAACCTGACAACTCTGGACGTGTGAGATTARTGGACTTTAATCCTTGTCTTCCTCTGCCTCACAGGGGAAATGGAATCTCATCTGTGGTGACCCAGGATCTCAGCTTTCAGAGCGTGAAAAGGACCAATAACAGAAATTTTGGTGAGTGCTTATGTTAGACTTGAGTGAAGGTTTTTTTTTGCGCCTTTTGATTTGAAAAACCCACACAGATGGAGAGCACCACCAGGCTCGACCTCTCCACTTCGAAGACCCGGATGACAAAACTCCTCTCCAGACGAAGGATGCTGTTCTGAGCGCCCTGCGGGAGCTGGTGGCGTTGGCAGGTTCGGATCAGGGCCAGAAGCGAGCCAGCCTCTTCCACAAGCTGGTGTCGAGCATGCGGATGCTCCGGAATGAGACCTTAAGCCGTGCGGTCGCCGCGATGGTCGACGTGTCTCACTGGCTCACCTTCCAGGCCCTATTCCAGTGTGGAACCACAGAGTGCACCAGCGCCATCATGCAGGTCATCCGGACCACCGATGGGGTCGCGCTTGAGGCGGACGCTCTGGTTTACTGGCTGGGTCTGCAGGCGAGCCCGGACGCTTCACGTGTGCGAGACATGCTCAACATGGCTCAGTACAAACAGAGCAAAGCCATCATGTACGCGCTGGCAAACACGGTCAAGAAGTGAGTGAAAAACAATGTTTACGAGTTATTACCACATAATAAAAAGACCTTCAGTGGATTTTAATTAAATCCGATGTTAATACTCAGATTGGCATAAAAAAGTCTGATATGTGCAACAAATAATGTATTGGTTTGTTGTAATTATTTTAATTGACCACAAGAAGAAAACAAACACAACCCTAACCAGGAAAATAAACAGTTAAAGRAGTTATTATAAAACCTTGTTGAAATAGTATGCTGTTCAAAATTATTATTATTATTATTATTATTATAATTATTATTATTATTATTATAATTAACCTTATACCCTCCTCAGGTTCTTCCTGGTTACACTCCTGAAGGTGTTACCTTTTACGTCAGAACGTAACTCATTTTTGTTTAGGCTACAGACAGAACACAGGATAACACACACACACACACACACACACCAACTGGTTCTCTGTTTTAACCTTAAGGCTGCAATGATTAGGAAGTATTAAAATACAATACTGCATCTAACATTCAGTTAATCATTTACAAAATTACCTTCAACCTTATTATTAATAACACCTGATAGTATTTGTCAACAGGTTTCACCAGGGTGACGTGACTCCAGAGGTCACAGATGTGTCAGAGTTCATGAAGATGCTCCTCAACGACTGCTCAGAGGACGTACGGGACTCTGACTTTAATCCAGATCCAACGGAGGTGGCCTTTCTCGTACTGAGGGTACTGAAACCCCACAAACATCCCACCAAGTTTTCAGAATATCTGATGTTAGTCTGAAACTAGATTGAGATTTATTTTTAATTTTCCTCTCATCTCCAGGTTGTTGGCGTCATGGGTCGGGCCATGCAAGACGTCAGTCCCACCCTCGTTTCTTCGGTTCTACGATGTGCCAAGAAAACAAACGTTCCTTTATCAAACCAAAAAGCAGCAATCCAGGCATTTAGGCTGATGGAAATTAACAATGAGGTGCGTTTACCTCACACTCCTAGAATCAAACCTTTTTAAAATTGAAGTAAAACAGGAAGACATGATTTGCTAATACTATGAATTTAAGGTACTGCTATAATGACGTTTGAGTTTTGTCATTCGGTGGAGCACAGATCAGGAACACTCTCATGGAGGTCTACCAGGACCCTCAGAGTCCTGTGGAGAAACGTCTGGCAGCTTATCTGGTTCTGATGAAGAGTCCGGATCAAACCCTCATCAGAGACGTTGCAAACAGTCTGACAGGCGAGAGGGAGAACCAGATAAAGAGCTTTGTGGTGTCACACCTGAAAAACATCTATAACTCTGATCAAACAACAGAGTGAGTCAACAACATTTCTGACAACAGGAGCTATTTTTATGTTCCTGCAAGATGAGTTTACTGAAGGAATTAAAAATGTTCAGGAAGTTTTCTGTAGATTTGTATTTTTTCTGGTATTTTTTTCCTTTTAGTTTGTTATTATTTGTTATTTTCTTTCTGCAGACTCAAAGAAGCCATTGAGATTGCTCTTCAGCTGTCACCCAAACACAATATCCTCGATGGTTTGTCACAAAATCACAGAATCAGCTCTCAGCTGGGCTCGGTTCAGAGCAACATCATCTTTGACGACAGCAACACGATGCCGAAGGAGATGATGGTGGAGGCCACGCTGGAGGCTTTCGACCTCAACTATGACATTTTTGAGGTATAATTCCAGCAACAAATTTGTACGTGTCGCAAACATCTGTATTTTTACAAAAACCTAAACATCCCATTTCAAGGTTGGTGTTGAAGGGACGGGATTTGAACCAACCATTGATGGTCTTTTTGGGGAGAAGGGCTTCATCCCTGAATCCATCTCCAGACTCGTGCCGATGTTCAGAGAAGCTCTGGACAAGGTTTCTCCACGTGGAGACAGAATGAAGAGAGAGGTGACTTTTTGGACTTCTTCCACCTTTCAGATTGTTCAAACATAAACTGATAAAAACTTTTCAGGTTCTGGAAGATCATCTGGAGGCGATCAGGGATGGTTTCCAGAAACTCCTCACCGATGTGCGATTCTCTCCGGCTCCTGAGGCCACAGCTTATCTCCGGCTTCTAGGAGAAGAAATAGGGTACATGAAGACCAGTGAGATGAGACAGCTGTTTGAGACTCTCTTCATGTACTACAATTTTTTTACCAGGGTCCTTCCTGCACAGGTCAGACACCTTTTATAAAAGTAGTTTTTTATCGTTGTTGCAAATGTTTTTAGCTACAAGTGATTGTTTTTCTGTGTTTTTCCCAAAAGGCCTTCATTAAGCTGACATCCAGCACTGAAAACCAGYTATTTTTCCACTACATCTTCATGGAGAACGTTTTTTGTCTGCCCACTGCTGCTGGGTTTCCTCTTAGATTCTCCCTCTCAGGTGTGATTGCACCTGGTGCCAAAGGAGGCCTGACTCCCTCAGCCATGGTAGGTTAGCTGTAGCTCTTTAGTCTATAAGTCTGAGATGAAAAAACAGAATTTTAAAGAATGCTATGTACAGTATTTAATTATCCCCGTGTTTTAAAAGTTAAATACYTAATGTTCATGTTTGAAACACGGTTTAATGCTCTTCTTGTTGCAGACCAGCATGTCCTTCATGCCTTCAGTTGGGTTGGAATTCATCACCCAGATGGGCGTTCACCTTCCAGACTATGTGGATGCAGGGATTGAGATGCACACTAACATGTACCACGAGAGCTCGTTTAAAGCCAAAATAACCATGAACAGAAACCAGATCAAACTGTCTGTTCCTGCTCCAGAATCCAGCACTCAGCTGCTCAGTGTCAGGTCAGAGGCTCATCTGATAAATGGTGTAAAGCTCTGGAATGTTGCTGTTCTGTTACTCATTCTCTAGTTTTTCTCTTTATCTGAGTGAAGCAACAAGCTGRTGTCCGTCTCATCTGGTCAAACTAAGATGGTGCCATTCCTGATGGAGGATCGGGTCGACTCAACTGACTGCCAGCCTCTGTTCAGAGGACTGGATCTATGCACTGTAGTGCGCTACTCCAATGCTACGTCAGTTGAACAGGCTCCATATTACCCGCTGACTGGAGAGACAAAGTAAATAAAAGCTGTATTTAAAAGAATATTGAGCCAAAAATTATTGTTAAGTTTGAATTTGCTTAAATTGGAAATTTGGGTGGTTTCCAAAATATAACTTGAAGCACATTACATGATTTTACGCAAATAAACACATGGAAAGGACCAGATTTAATGATTTTTTTTGTTTACATCAGGTTTGCAGTTGAAATTCAGCCCACAGGGAAGGTTTCAGAGTACACCGTCACCATCACAGATGAAACCCTCAGAGAGGGGAAGAAGGGTCGACACAAAGTTGAGTCTCTAAAGCTAACCTTGAGGGCTGAAGGTACGACTGTAAGATATGTTTGAATAGAAGAGTGCACAGGACACCTTTAGATATTTATAGTTTTTGTTGTTGTGGTTCAGAGTGAACACATTTAAAACTGTGGATTATGGACAGCCAAAGCTTGAGTTTGAATTATAAATGATGTATTCATTGGAGTTTTAGAGCTGATTAAGATTTGAGAATAATTTTCATCTGGGTACTTCTGTATGCTGATGACACAATTATCTATACAGAAAAGAAGTGACAGTTGGGGACAAATTTTGACTAAAATTTGCAAAAGAGCTTCTTAAAAGTCTTTAAACATTTACAAGAGTTCTCAGTTTCCTTTTTTAAAACTTTAAAAATTTCAGACATTCTCGTAAAATGATCAACATTGCTGCAAGTGTCTTGAACCAACTTGAACTTTTCTAGAATGCTGGAGCTGTATATGTTTTTTGTGACGTGTTTGTGAACTTTGTTTAATCAGAGTAAAAATCGGGATACTTAAATGTAATTTTTTTCTGTAATTGATTTGGAGCTGCATGTAGTTAACTTAAAAACTTAGCAACAAATCTAAAAAAAAATCACAACTTTGTTTCCTTTTTTATAGATAAAATGTAACTGCTGAGTTTCGTCTCTGGGGTTCTTACAGGGGAAGACTCAATGGAGGCCACAGTGTCACTGAAATACAACCGCAATAAAAATCACATCTCCTCTGAGATTATAATTCCTGACTACAATGTAGAGGCYAGCATAAACCTGGCTGTAACAGACAGTGGTCAGAGCGGAAAGAAGACGCGAGGCTTCACCATCGACGTCACCAACAAAAACATCCCACAGATGACTCTAGAGGGACGAGTAAGGTAACTCATTAAATGTCCTGGAATAATTCAACAGATCAGGTCCATCCTGTAAACCTCCAGACCTTTGTAATATAGACAGGACATGATGAGAGAAGCCATGCTGCAACTCCAGATGGATATTCCTTCTCTGAAGGCCGATGCATCCATCACTGCCGTCCTGAGGAATGACGAGAGCGTTCTGTTGGACTTGGAGACAGTCGTCCACCTCCCTGAGACGCTGTACCAGCAAAGAGCCTCTTTAAAACATGGTAACCTTCGGTGATATCATCAGCGAAGATGAGTGATCATCTCTGTATTTCAGGATGGATTGTATTTCCGCACAGATGACGACAAGTTGGAGTTGGAACTGAAAACGGACCTGAATGTACAGATAAAAGAGATTATTCCAGATGCAGAGGAGCAACACAGGAAGCTACAACAACTCATTGATGATTTTCTAGACCAAAGAGTGACGAAGACTGATATGAAACTGCGTCACATCGTCAGTAAAGGAATTGAGGTAAAGTCAGTACTATTGTAATTTCTAAGTATTTCCTCAAAACAGCCAAAATGTTGAGGTTGATTGATTGGGGTGTGGGCTTATCTTCTTCAAGATAATTCAAAAGATTTTAATTGAGTTTAAAGTATTTTAAAGGGATCTTCATGAAGATTTATGACAGTAGGACAATCTCAGTTTGTTTAAGCCAATTGGAGAGATGTGCTGTAATATATATATAATATCTAGTTGTAGCTTCAGGAAAGTTTTGATTGTATTTTAAATTGTTTTTATTCTTCATGTCCTTCTSAAGGCAGGTAATATTTGGCTGGACAAAGTGACTGCACGGTTCCCCTCTCTTGCAAACCTTCGCAGCAAGKGGAGCCTCTCGGACCTCACTTTGCCACCTCTGCCTGAAAGATTGTTTTTGCAATCGTAAGTTTTGAAAACAGAGCTTAGGTAACACTTCAAATGCATTGAAAATATAAATGAGCTTCTCGTTTGTTTTGACTTCAACAGAAACAGTTTGTTCCGATACCAATTCAACAAGGATGAGATAATCATCCACCTTCCTCTCCCATTTGGAGGCAAAAAGTCRGAAGAACTGAACCTTCCGAAGACTCTGTCTGTTCCCGTCATAGACCTTTCACAGATAGGGTTGTATATCCCAGCCAAGCAGTTTGTGCTACCATCGTTCACTGTGCCACCATCTTTAGACGTCACAGTTCCACTTCTCGGCTTGGCCGAAGCATCGACCAAGATCCATAGCAACTTCTACAACTGGGAAGGTTCGATCTCTGGGGGCAACAACACTGTTAACGTTCCCAATTATGTTGTGCAGTACAAGGCTATGGCTCAGTCACCTTTAAGCCTGCTGTCATACAAATTGGAAGGTAAACAACTCAAAACATGTTCTGAAATTTAATCTGGAGCAAGCGATTTGAGAAAAAGCACAATTTTTCTTTTCTGTGTTTTTAGGGGCCGGGATGGTATCAGGAAGAGCAGATGACCATCTCAAATACCTTCTGAGTAGCTCTTTCAGTCACATCCTTATTGACACAAGCGTCAGTGTCTTAGAAACCTTAAAGGTGACAAACAAACTGGATGCAAATGCCAATTATAAGATAGAGGCCTCCAGTCCATTAGGTCTTCAAGCTTTTTTTCATTATTCTGCTCAGTCYTCTTCCACTTTGGATTCTGAGGAAGTCTTGGGCGATGGGACTGTAAACGGACTCATTAAATTAGGTTCATTCAACACCACCACCTCCTACACCCACAGTTACAACCTGCATCCACTAGATCGGGAGGGAAGAGGCGAGTCCACCTTACGCTTTGACTCACCCATCATCCAGTTTCAGAACATGATCCAAGGCGTTTACGCAAACTCAGAGTTAAACGTCGTCTCCAAAACTAGTTCCCAGAACGATGTCTTCAAGCACATGGCAGAGCTCAAATATAAAGACACAAAACTGACCCTGAAGTGCAAAGCTGTTGGCTCAGCATTGGGGAAATCCCTCAACAACCAAGTTGAGCTCGGTATATCGAATGATATGTCCATCCTCAGAATCGAATCACAGGTAGATGATGACACGAGCAGAGTTTACTCCCTCATAACTGGGTCTCTTGATTCAAAAAAGCTTGAGGTGAACTCTGAAGGTTCCCTCTCTTGTAATTTGGGTCGTGGGTTGCATAAAACTTCTGTAAGTGTTGGGAAAGGTGGCATAGTCTTTGGTGGAATGAACAGCATTCAGTTCAGCTCCGTGACCGCGGAGAACATCTTTAATGGTGCTGTCGATTTTAACGGAGCTTCCTTTGCTTCAACTGTAAAATCGATGTTTGAGGAGGGCAGGGGAGAGCTGAACATTGAGGGTAAAATCACACCTTCAGAGGCCTCTATGAGTGGTTTCTTTAAGGGACATGCTTACGACGCATCCATGATGAACAACATGAACGTCGTACTGAACAGAAGAGCTCTGACTTTCACTGGAAACACCAAGGGAACACTGAAACAGTTGAGAACAGAAAGCACTCATGCCCTGACCCTCACTCTGTGGACATTCACCCTCCGCTCCAAAACTGACAGCTTTATCTGTGAAGATGTTTACTACAGGCAAAACACAAAAGTTGACATAAAGCCGTTTGTTTTTGGCTTTGACATGACTAATGACCTCAAGTTTTACGATCTCAGTTTGAACAAAGAGGATCATATGAAGCTTGAGCCAGTAAAGGTAGCACTCAGTGGAAGTGTGAGGGGAGCTTACAGAGAAGAAGACGAAATTAAGCACACCTATGAGCTCACCTATGAAGATTTATCTGGCTCAATGAAATACAGGACATCTGGAAACATAATGGAAGCAAAGTTAAGTCAAAACTGCGAACTTGAGTTTGCGGGATTGTCTTTGGTGTCAAAGTGTGAGGGGCAATTGAATTCTGAACCATTGCGCTTCAACGGCACAGTTCGCACTATGGCTCTGCCTTTCAGCGTGAGCGTTGATGCTTTGATTAACAGCGATGGAAACATGAATCTACATGGGAAACATGCTGGACAGCTTCACAGTAAGCTGCTGTTTAAAGCTGCACCCTTGGCTCTTGCGTACTCGCACGACAGCCAAGTTTCAACCACTCATCGCCTCCGAAGCGGGGCATGGTCCACGAGTTTAGGCAACAAATTTGAAGGTCTCCTGACTCCGAATGACCAGTCTCTGGACTGGAAAGCAAATTCCAAACTGAACAACCACGCTTATGAGCAGGACGTCAGTGCTTACAACAATCATGAAAAGATGGGGGTTGAGTTTTCAGGAGCGATCCTGACAGATTTCCTCAACAGATATAAAAGAGCAAGACCAGAAACACAAATGTTTAGTGTGACTGGTTTTCTAAAGTACGACAAAAACAGTGACTGCCACATGATTGAAATTCCGTACATTGAGAGCTTCCCTGCTGCTTTTGAAAATCTCAAACACACATTTGTACAATCTTTAGAATCCCTCCAACGGCTCATAATTAGTTTAGACATGAATCAACTCATCACCGACTTCAGGGCCAACTTAGATCGGCTCCCGATGCACGTGAAAAACTTTATGCGCAAAATGGACTTGGAGAACAAAGTGACTCAAGTGAAAGAAAAACTTGATTATTTCATCAATGAGTTTGCTGTTACAATGGAAGACTTAGAGGACGCAGCAAGCAGTATTAAACAAAATTCGGAAATAACTATAACAGACATTGTCACAAAAGTTCYAAATTTTATCTCTAAAGTTGAGGAGTTTATTAAAGAAGGACATCTCGCAGATAAGATAGAAAGTGTAATTTCACATATTGGAGATCAGCTTCAGGAGTTTGATGAAAAACACAAAATAAAGAATTCTTTTGTCAAAGCACTTAATGTCATCGAGGATATTATTGGACAGATTGACCTGCAAAAGTTCAAGGAAAGCAGCGCTGCGTTCCTGCAAGAGCTCGATTCTAGATATGAAATCATGGAGACAATAAAAGAAAAACTGTCTGAGCTCAGAAAGCTTCTTGAGGACTTCCAAATCACTGACTTCTCAAAGGATGTAAAAAATTACCTCCTCTCAGTTGACTGGACCTCTTTTGTCGAGCAGTTCACATATCAAATCCCAGCTTTGGAAATACCGAAAGTGATGGAATCGATGAACGAAGTCATCGTCAACTGGATCGATGAATATGAAATTCCCAACAAGCTAAACGCAGTGTATTCTTATTTCAGAGATATCATTCTGAAATATGAGCTTAATGACATTTTTAAAGATTTAATGGATCAGGCAGTGATTCTGGTCAAACAGTGGAAAATTGAAGAAACTGTACAGTCAGTCGTAGATGCTCTGAAAACTGTGAAAGTTGAKATTCTTTATGATAAAATAATGGACTTCTTGCACAGTGTAACAAGCAAACTCAGGGAAATTGACTTCAGGAAAAGCATTGACTACCTTAATGAACGTATCTCTTTGATACTCGAGACTGTGAAGGATTTTGACTATGACGTGTTTGTCGATGAGACAAACAACAAGATTGTCGAGATTACAAATTATCTTAATGAAGAAATCAAAAAATATGAGATTGTGAAAAAGACAGAGGCTCTCAGACAGTTTTTCAGAGAGATTCAAACCTCCATCTATACGTATTTGGATGAGCTCAGAAACACGAAGGTGGCCGACGCTTTAAAGAGATTGAAAGATGTGATTGACGCAGCTTTTTACAATGACATCAAACTGAAAGCGCAGGATATCCTTGAGGACATGAGGCAAAGAATTCTCGATATGGATATTCGAGAGGAGATCTACATCTACCTTCATAGAGCAAGTGAGTTTTACAGAAATATGATCACCTACCTTTCTGCACAGATTAATGTACTAATGGAGTGGATTGAAACAGTGGCTAATGACAAGGAGATCCTCAATCGGATGAAGCAAGCTGTAGATGAAGTTTTGAACCAACTGAAAAAAGCCAAGATTGAAGTCCCCACATTTYCTGTCCTGCTTACTGACCTTGTAATTCCAGGATTCACTGTCAGCCTTAATAAARTGCAGGAAATCAGCATTCCAGTTCAAATATCAGTTCCAGAAATCACAATCCTTGGCTCGTACACAATTCCTGCTTTCACTATAGACTTCAATAAGATCAAGGCTAAAATAGTCGCAATCATAGACGACATCCAAGCATTTGAGATCCAAGCGCCTGACCCGGAGGACATTTTTGGTAACCTGAAAGTCCTCTATCTGTCTGACCTGCCAGACCTCACCTTCCCAGAAATTGTTCTTTCAGAGATAAAATTTCCTGCGCTGATCATCCCAAAATTGAATCTGGAGGATTTTGAAATCACTATGCTTACAATCCCAGACATTAAATTACCCAAGATCACCAGTGAAATCTGTATCCCAGCTTGTGGTAAACTCCATGGAGAATTTAGCTTCACTTCCCCACAGTACACTCTTGTAAACACAGCAAAAATCGAGAACTCAACTTCCACACTGAAAAACCCACACTTTACAGCCACTGTTACGTCTCATGCACGCTCGCCAATCGAGATCCTGGAGCATGCGTTCGAAGCTGTGGCTCACCTGGAGGCTCCTAGAATGAAGAAGCTGCTGTTCACAGAAACCGTGAAAGCAACCCATACAGCCTTCTCAGTTGACCACGAAGGCTCCCTGACGCTCACCGGCTCTTCTGCTGAGGCTTCTGCGAAGACTACCACCAAGGCCACAACCCAGATGTACACAGCTGATATGGTCAATACTGTGGCTCTTTCATTAAGAGGTGGAATATATGCAGTGGTAGATACAACATACAACCATGACCTAGTCATCCCATCAAAGGAAATATCAAGTCAGGCATCAATGAAACAAAGCATAGCAGCTAGAATAGAATCTAATTCCATTACTGTGACCGGTGAAACAAGCGGTAATGGAAAGTGGTCCATTCAAGACTTCTCTGATGAAGGTACACACAAAAGCAATGTGGAGTTTAATGTTGATTTCAGCACTGCAAAGTTGAAGTTTTCAGGAGAAACGGACTGTAACACCCTAAAATCAAAGCAAACACTGACTGRGCAGTCTGTGTTCTTAAGTCACTTTATCGTAGAAGCTCAATGTGAAGTTGAAGTTCCATTTGTCAAAAAGAGTGTTACGGTTTTAAATGGAGAGGCTCACGTTGGAGACTTGAAAGTGTCGCTGACAGCATCTCATGATGCTGAATTCATGAGCGATCTGATGGGAACCATGTCCAATTCGTTGGAACTCGTGGTCCATCCGTTTGAGATAGCCTTTGATGTTAAGAACAAAATGAACTCAAACATCTTCCTCCCTCTAAAACTTACCGGAAAGGTTGATCTCCAGCATGATTATGGTGTCTTACTGAACTCTGAGAAACAGCTTGCATTTTGGCTTGCTTTGGCAAGGTTCAATCAGTATAAGTACAGTCACAATATCACAGCAGAAAATGGCGAAAAGGACATCTACTTCCACTTCTCTGCTGAAGGAGAAGCTAATTTAGACTTTTTGACTATTCCTCTCTCAATACCAAAAATGGCTGTCCCCTATCTCAAAGTAGAAACCCCTGAGGTCAAAGATTTTTCTCTGTGGGAAGATGCTGGCCTTAAATCCTTGCTTTTTAACCCCCAACAGTCATTTGACATGAACTTGAAGCTTCAATACTATAAGAACTCTGACACACACAGCTTCGAGTTGCACCTTGAACCATTCTACAACATGATCCATGACAATGCTAGGATCGTTCAAACTCAGTTTGAAGCATACAGAGACAAAGTAGTTACCCTTCTGAAGAATTCATACAACGATGCAAAGTCACAGTACGTCAAACACAAAATTGACACTTCCAGTCTGTTTCCAAGAATCTTCAGAGTTCCTGAGTACAAAATACCAGTACTGAATATACAGGTTTCCCCCTTCAGTGCTGAAATGCCAGCCTTTGGTTATTTTGTCCCCAAAGAGGTCAGCACACCAAGCTTTAAAGTTCCAAAACTGGGTTTCTCTGTACCATCCTACACTCTTGTGTTGCCAGTTCCTGGATTCCCCGTTGTCCATGTTCCAGAAACTCTAACTGAAGTGCAGCTGCCTTCTTTGACTTTACCAGCCATACAGGACAGCATTATGATTCCAGCTATGGGCAACATAACCTGTGACTTCTCCTTCAAATCCACCATCGTCACCCTGAATGCTAACGCAGGCCTTTACAACCAGTCAGATGTTGTTGCTCGATTTGGTGCTTCATCTGTGTCTGTGTTTGACATTCTGAATGGAAAAATCGATGGAACCACCAGCATGACAAGGACAAGGGGTCTCAAACTGGCGTCATCTGTGTCTCTAAAGCATTACAATCTAGAAGCCAACCATGAATGTTCTGTTAGCCTCAACAAGAGGAGCCTGGAAGCTTCTGTGGCCAACACTGTGAAAATTAGTCTGCCATTCCTCCAAGTGGAAGTCAAGCAGGAGCTCACAGGAAATACAAAGACCAAGCCAAATGTGTCCTCCAAGAAAACCCTTAAATACATGTTTAATTTTCCCCAGATTGCATCTATAGGCAAAGGAAACATCGACATGGATTGGGAACTGGAAGCTCTTTCCCCTTCCTTGTCACTGGATACATTTACTCAAGGGAAGTCTGACATAACAATAATGGACAGCTGTAATTTTGTTGGAGATCTGAAAAATAAGAAAAACTTCTTTATTAGTGTCAACAACCTGCGTACAACCACCAACACAGCTTTAAACCTAAATATAAATAAACAGGACAAGCAAAAACGAAGCTTGCCCAACAACCTCGTCTCGTTTGGTCTGACCAATGATCTTGCTCTTGATGCTTCCTTGCGGCGTGTTTTTGCGACACTTGATTACACCAGCAACAACAATGTTAATTTGGAATATTTTGACACAAGTGGAAGCCACATTGTCAGGGGAAAAGTAGATTTTGTTCCTTTAACAAGCTTCAGAACGACATTAGACACCGACGCGAGTCAGTCGAGTAGTTTGGGTCGTGCTGGACTCATTCAGAGCTTCAATCTGGACATCAGCTCTGAGAAACAGTCCTTGAACTGGAACGGGAAGGAATGGCTGTCATCTTTCATCCATGCTCATGATTTAATCATTTTCAATGATGAATCTGAAGCAGGTTTGAAACTGACAGAATCAGTGGAGGGTCACTTGGCATTCTTGAAATCAGTCAAACTTCCCGTTTATCAAAGAACCCTGTGGGATGTGCTTAAATTTGATCAGATCACAAACATCAATGACTTACAATTCTTAAACGTCTCTTCCAGTCTTGTATACACAAAGAGCATGGATGGCTATGAGTTCCAAATACCCTATAAAGTATTTGACAACGGTGTCATGTTTAGCGTCCCTGAAATTAGCATTCCGATGCCTTTTTGGGTCAAAAAGTTTCCTCAATCTATAAGGAATGTAGACATGAGATTTGAAAGCGCTAAAGTCCCGGATCACCTAACCCTCCCCCCTGCAATCTCGGTCCCTGATTTTGTTGTTCCATTTACGGATTTGTATGTGGAACCATTCACGATTGATCCAAAGAACCTTAACATTCCTAAACTGATTACCACTAAGGCTTTCAACATTGAGCTGCCTGGCTTGCCCGTAATATCGATGCCAAGCTTCGACGTTAACATGGAGTATCTACAGGGTAAAATGTCGTTCCTGTCATTCAGGATTCCAGAGTATAAGATTTCTGTGTCCTCTTTTACTTTGCCCAAATCTTTCACCATTGGAGACTACACTGTCGGCCTGGATGACCTCGTGGGTCAAGTTTCAAATTTTCATCTTCCAACTATTGTCATCCCAAACCAAAAGGTTGAAATCCCTGAATTTACCCTACGTCTGCCTTCAAGCGTTTTCATCCCAACGTTTGGTTCCCTCAGCGCTTCTCTAAATATTTCCTCACATATCTATAACAAGTCATCGACAGCCTCTGTAAAGAAGGAGGACTCTAACCTTTTGACTTCACTCAGTTCCAGCTGTGCCTCAACAATGGTCTTTTTGGAGTATGACCTCACCGGTAAGTCATTCTTCACTATACCTGCATGAACTACTGCACTGAAAATGTTCACATTATTGTTTTTGATTTTTCCTTGTGTTTCCTCAGCTACTTCAACTGTAGCATATGACAACGGGATGATAAATTTGAACGGGATGGGAAAGTTGATCCACAGTGACATAAATGTAAATTGGCAACATGTTTTGARGCAGCCTCTTAGGTAAGAATGTGTTCCCCATTTGTAATTTACTTCGTAAATGAACAGTTCAGACATTGTGAAATGGAGTTATGTGGACAGGTTATGGACAGTTAATATGTTACATTTTGTAGCAATTTAAATAAACCCAGATTAAAGAAATCTGGTCAGATTGATGAGCTAAAGACTAGCTTGTGGATACTTCCTGCAGATATTTTCATATTATCAGGATATATATATATA